CTTCTGCTCTCTAGCTCAGCTGCTACCATTTTCTCTTGTTGCTCCATTTTCTTGGATTCATCTCTTCTAATATCTGCAGACTACTCCTTTGATTACTGTTTAAAATCTCAGGTAAAGATTTCTCTGTTTTCTAAAGCATTTGGGATTAAATTTCCTTTGGATTTCTGTAAAGGTTCTGCTACAGGTTGAATCTCCCCCATCCAGAAATCCAAAATATTCACTATTCAAAATGTCTCCACTAAATGCGTCTGAGGAAGTAGACTGAAGTTACGAAAACTCATCTGCCAATTTCTTTATTTCAGTTAGTCTCAATGGTTCTACAAGATCTCTCTACATCCAAAATATTCAGAAATCTAAAATTGTCCATATGAGTAGCTGAGATGGTGACACTTTTGCTTTTTGATGGTTCAGTGCAGACAAACTTTGTTCCATGCACAAAATGACTGAACATATTATATATAAAATTACCTTCAGGTCATGTGTATAAGGTTTATTATTATTATTATTATTATTATTATTATTATTATTATTATTATTATTAAATGAATTTCATTTTTTGATTCCAAAAATATTCCAATTCCAAAAATATTCCAAAAATTCCAATATTCCAAAATTAAAAAAACTCCCAAATCCAAAATGCTTCTGGTTCTAAGCATTTTGGATAAGGAAGACTCAATCTGTATGTGTATTTGGTTGGTCTTTGCATTACAGTGAGCCCTTGGTATCCACTGGGGGGCCCTGGATACCAAAATCCATGAATGCTCAAGTGCCATTAAATACAGCGGTGTAATAAAATTGTGTCCCTTATGTAAAATGGCAAAATCAAGGTTTGCTTTCTGGAATTTTTTGGGGTGTGTGGGTGGAGGAATATTTTCAAGCCATGCATGGTGGAATTTGTGGATGCAGAATCTGTGGTTACAGAGGGCTGACTGTATATGTGTGTGTGTGGTGTTTGCATTAGTATTAGTCCCTTCTTTCCCCTATATCCTTTTAAAAACAAAAATTACATTGTACACCTTTGGCAGGCTAGTCTGTTTTCTTGTTTTATGTCTAGTGCCATACACACCAGTGCTGTTTTATCATTTCATTAGGGTCATGATGATGACTCCAAACAAATCATCCATAGACGTAATATACAAACCAAATGGTATATTCAAAAATACACAAGCACACAAAAATAAAGCGAAACTTAACAAGTAATATAAACCAGTAATAATCTTTGTGGAAAGCAGATGAATGATCAAGCAAGATATAATCCTACACAGTCTGCTATTGCAAAGATCCAAACAACCCAGTGAACAAACCAAATAATATACTAAGAAAGAATGTCCCAGTATCAAACCACAGAAACAGAACAGACTGATATTCTGGAAATGGGAACAGTCAACCCAATAGTACAAGCATGAGATAAGGCAACAGATGTCTTCCTGGTTTATGTAATCATTTAATGCCTTCTTCAGTGTAACAATAAATATCAGCTGTTAAGAAAAATCATCTTGTTCCAGTCTGTTTACACCAAATATTTATAGGTTATTTGTCAAAAACCCATGGCAGCTTGATGTAGAAACAAAGCCCATTCAAGACAGAAAGAATATCTCATGCAGCTATGATTGTTCACAAAGATCATGTACCCATTCACACTACACAAGTGTTGTTGTTGTTGTGTGCCTTCATATCATTTCTGATTTATGATGACCGTAAGGTGAGGAGATTTCTTGGGCAAATTTGTTCAGAGGGGGTTTGGTTTGTCCTTGCCTTCCTCTGAGGCTGAGAGAGTGAGACTTACTTCATAAAGGATGGGTGGGATTCAGGATTTTATGTTCTGTTTAATGTATGGAAATTGTAATGTTGTAAGCCACCCCGATTGCTCTGCAGAGGGGCGGGATATAAATAAAAATTATTATTATTATTATTATTATTATTATTATTATTATTATTATTATTATTATTAAGGTTACCCAGTGGGTTTCCATGGCTGAGCAAGAATTTGAACCCTGGTCTCTAGAGTCATAGTTCAACACTCAAACCACTGTACCACACCACACACAATCATAGTGCTATTATTCCATGTTGACTACCATGGTTTCCATCCTATGGCATCCTGGCACTTGCAGAGGGGCATTTAGAATCAGCAGTCAGAAAACATGTTTTGTGTGAGAAGCAGGTGTAATTCCAGGCCTTTCCAAGAGTTATTTTGATGCCAAACACTGACACTCATTACTGCTATAAAATAAGCTTGATTGGTTGTAAATGATGCAGCAGATGGTAGACAGCAGAGAAGCATCTCATCCCTTTTGCTGGATGGGTCCAGCATCCCCTCAAAGCCAATGGTAGAGTTGGCCCCCAAACTAATTGTACCCAGACTATCCCCAGCCAAATTCAGTCCTTATTGCTGGATATATAGGTCCCTGGACTGGGGTGCATGCCTTGACTGAAGATGATGGAAAATAAACTCCTAAGGGTTATGTTGTGTAGAAGCAAACAAAGAAAATGGAGCATATTTTGGGAGAAAGGCGGAATATAAGTGCAATACATAAATTAGTAAAATCAAAGTGTGCAAGCTTGATCCATCTCCCAACCCATTAGGTGTGAGAACTATACAAGCAAGTTAGTAACAGAGGAAAATTATTGATGATGATGATGATGATGATGATTTATCTCCTGCCTTCCTTCCAACACAGGGACTCAAGGTTGCTAAATCACTTCTCCAGTGTTCCCAGTCTGTATATTGTTTCACAGCCTCAAACTGCCACACTGCTGCAAAAACATAGGCACTAATACAAGCAGACTCTCTACACTGGATGTCTGTTAACACTTGGCCAGGGTGCTAACAAGGACTCCAAAACCCATCTGCCTGTGGCAGAACCCCAGCTTACTAAAGGGCTCATCTGGGGCATCACCAAACTCCAGATTGCAGAGGATTCAGCCACGGCAGTTAAAAATGGAATCATAGTGGTATAATTGTGCAGTGGGTACAGGATGGAGATCACCATGGATGCCATTTTTCTTTTTTAGGAAGACAACTTCTTATGTTGCAAAATTAGAAATAAAAAGAAGCCACATTTTCCAAGACATGGCCTGGAAAGGAGGGAGGCTTGCCTGGAAGGGTTGCCCTCTGATAAATGCTGTTCTCTTCGGAAAAGCCTCCGGCGGCCCTCGGAAAAGGGCATCTTCTGCCCCAGGGTTTTGCTGACCTCCCACAAGAGAGCATAAAGCAAGTCTGGGAACACCTCCTGGAGGACTTCCTCATCTTGCAGTACGGAGAGGACTTCATAGATGGCACATGTGGCCTGATGGGAGAAAAAGAGACAAGGAGAGGGTTTCAACAGCATGTTTAGTAGAAATGGACCGCACCTTCCCAAAATGGCCCCAGTGAGGGGTAAGAGATCTATGTTGCTCACCTCTGTCATCAAGATTTGACCACCTTGCTACAGAACCTTGAGATGTTAGCTAACAACAAAGTCTGATTCCAGCAGTCACGTAACATTCCTATTTCTTAGAGCTTAAGATGTTGAGCAACCTATGGCCCTCCAGATGTTGTTGGATTGCAATTCCCACCATCTCTCACAACTGCCTTACCTTCCCAATGTCCCCTGAAAGCAGGGGTGGGCAATGGCACAGGGTACAGGGATCTTTATTCCATCCATCTTCTTCCCATGAGCAACCTCCTCTGCAAGCCCAAATAACTCTCTTTTCCTCTGCAGTCTCCCTCAAACTGGCAACTGGAAGTGTCATGATGTTGGACAGTCCTTTCTGGAGGAGTGCTCTCAGAAGGTGGTTTGGGAGACTCCTGACCATTACTCTGTGGTGTCTCTTGGGGTCCAGCCCTGTCCCCCATGTTGCTTAACATCTACATAAAGCCACTGGGAGAGATTATCTGGAGATTTGGGGTTCAGTGTCACCATTACACTGATGACACCCAACTCTGTCTCTCCATCTGATTCCAAGGAAGCTGCTTCAGTCCTAAACCAGTGTCTGCTGCCAATGAGGGCACGCAAAATGAAGCTTAATCCAGAAAAGACAGAGGTGCTCCTGGTCTGTCAGAAGGTAGACCAGGGAACAGGGATTTTGCCTGTGCTGTATGGCGTTACACTCCCCCTGAAATCTCAGATTTGTAGCTTGGATGGACTTGGATGAACTCAACCTTGACCTGGAAGCCAAGGTTTCAGAGGTGACCACGAGTACGTTTGCACAATTAAAACTAGTGTGTCAGCCCTTTCCCTGAGAAGTCAGATTTGAGCATGGTAACACATGCCTTGATTATATCCCATTTGGATTACTGCAACACACGGTCCATGGGGCTGCCTTTGAAGCTATTCAGAAACTTCAGCAGGTCCAAAATGCTGCAGCGAGACTGCTGACCGAGGCCAGTTATAGCAAAGAGATAGCTCATTTGCTGAAACAACTGCACTGGTGTACAGTCTTGTTTCCAGGCAGAATTCAAAGTGCTGGTTATGACCTATAATGTCCTACATGGCTTGGGTCCAAACTATCTGAAAGACTGTTATTTCCCTACCTGAGTTTTAAGATCTTTGGAGGAGGGCTTTCTCTCAGTCCCACCAACTTCACAGGTATGGCAGGTGAGAACCTGGGACAGAGCCTTCTCAGTGGCTGCTCCCAGGCTATGGCAATCCCTGCCAAGGGAGGCTTGCTTGGCCTCTTCCATGCTCTCCTTTCACCTGCAAGCCAAGACTTTCCTATTTAAACAGGCCTTCAGTTTTTAATCTGGCCGAGGCAGCGCATGGGATAGGTTTCAATGTGCTTTTATTGTTTTGCACTAATGTTTTATTCAAGAGGATTATGTTTAATGCTTATTTTATTTTATTTTATTTTTATTCCAAGCTGTTTTTTCATTGTATTGTTTTAATGTTTGGTGTGAGCTATTTTGGGTCCCATATGGAAGAAAATTGGGATCTAAATAAATAAATAAATAAATAAATAAATAAAATAGTTGCCTCCTGTCACCATTTTGAGAAGGTCTAAAGAGACTAAAGACTAAAGAGGTGGTGTAGTGGTTTGAGCACTGGACTATGACTCTGGAGACCAGGGTTCGAATTCCTGCTCAGCCATGGAAACCCACTGGGTAACCTTGGGCAAGTCACACTCTCAGAGGAAGGTAAAGATAGCTCCCCTCTAAACATCTCTTATGAAAACACTGCGATAGATTTGCCTTAGTGTCACCATAAATCAGAAATGATCTGAAGGCACACAACAACAACAACAACAACAAGATATTTAAGGACAGAGGAGGGTTGTGTGAGGCAGGGTGTTTCTGCATATTTTCAGGTGTTTCGGAGACTTTCTGCATGATTTTCAGGCAAAATTTGACTGAAAATCATAGAGAAACTGTTGTTGAAAGGGAATTGGGGGCTTCAGGGTAAGAAAAATAGACTCCAGCATCCACACATGGCTGACAGAATGCCCTTCACCCAACTGTACTTTAAAGGTTATTTGGAAAAGCAGGCATGCTAATAGTCATCACCTGCAAATGTTTCTTTGGACTTTATCACACGGGGGCCAATTCTGTCTTTAAAGAGATAATAAAGCGCAAATAAACCATCCCGAAAATAAAGTGAAAATAGTGTTTAATTGCGCGAATGAACATCACACACAATTAGAATAAATGCGTAATAACGTGAAAAGTGAAAAAATCCGCTTTTGCATTTCATACAAAAGTGAAAGAATTCCGTATATGAAGTAGAAATGGTATACTCGCAAATGCGCAGAGGGATGCATAGTTAGTGCGTCACAGGAACCTACAACAAAAACAGTAACAATAACTCCTAAATACTTCTATACCAGACACCCCATAGCACCATTAAATATTACCAGACA